AGAGAAAAAGAGAGAAAGAGAGAGAGAGAGAGAAAGAGCGAGAGTATGAGAAGCGAGGTGTATACACACCTGTAGAGGAGAAGAAATGAGAGCGCAGAGAAGGAGGTAAAGAAGCGTGACTCAAGCTTTCCAAAGCTCATGTACAAGTATATAGAGCCGTGACACGGAGGTAGGGGCCCCCGACATAAACACTCGAGCACGTATATAGTTATCTATCTGCATTATACAGACATGCATTACTTAATACACGAAAGGTGGCAAAAAATATATATCAAGTGGGAATATTTTTTATTGCCTTGTGCTAGAATCGACACTTCGATTCTTATTTTTTAAAAGAGATTTTTTTCAAATAAGCCTAACCAAGTCTATGCATAAAAAAGCCCATGCAGACGAATTCTAAAAAACTCAGTAATTCGACGACACTCTTTGATGAAAAATGTTAGCTGTCTTCAATGTTCTCGGGTGGTTAAATCAGTATTTATTACTGAAACGCTGAAGATGTTTAAAGATTGCAGTTAGACAACATAATTGGTTGCGTTCATAAAAAATCCATCTTTTCCAACAAAAACATCTTTGTATCGCAGTGCATAATGCCTATTAGAGACACTTGCCGTTTTTTTGAAATATTTTTTACGTCATTGACGTTGTTTTGTATGTTATACACGTGGAGGCGGATGCCAGAAATTATGCTTGTTTTTTTCAAAACCCGTAATGAATGACAATTAATAGGCGAGGGGATCGTTGCTTCAAGGAAGAATAATAAACCTTCCTCAGAGTTCAATAACTCGGGAAAACGCCTCTATGAATGGTTTGTTAATGGGCAAGAAAATCCAACGCTGTCCTTACTCATATTGTATAAGTAAAGCTAAGTAAGCTGTTAAACGACAAGGCAGAGAAGCTGAATGAAGAGCAATTCGACGTAATTGACGATAATAAGTCTGATTTATCGGAGCCCGAGAGCTACGGGGCTTCGTCGACGGTCATTTTGTGCGTGTATGCATCCAGAGTCCCTTGACAACAGCAGCGGAGCGATAAAGCGAGATTCACAAAAAATTCCACAGTCATCACTAAGCACGTGCCCTACTTTGTAAATATAATATACGATCGCGACGACGTTGCACATACACTTATGCAATGAACAATCGTTAATATTGCCTTGCGATTAGTTCGACCATTACAGTTTCGAGCATTTTACGCGTTCCGACAGTAAAACTGATTCACTATATTTGCTTGGACGATGGGTAAAATCTCTTGTAAAAATATTTCACAACGTCCTGTCCGAGAATGTTTTTTTTTTTTTTTTAATAATAAAAAATGATTTTCTCACAAAAAATATTGGCTTTCACGTGTCCGAAGCTTTAAAAAGTATAACACTACACCACACACACGGGGCTGGCCACACGCTTACTTGTAAACGTTGTTTGCGTGCTTTTTAATAATTTACAAGTTTTATGCAGGCTTTTTGTCAACATTGTTTCAGCCAAAAATACAGCTGAAAGGGTAAGCAAGGCAAGCGAAAAATTCCACATTCTCTCGGACAAAATAAACACACGCGGCAACCACCGAGCGTGTTATTTTAGCCATAGGTCCTGTACTTGTTGAGCGATAAATTTTTCCAAAATATTTCAAGTAAATTGATGATAACTGGGCCGTGTGCATAGGTGTATTTAATAACACTCTGCAATTAAATCGCGAGTCGGTATTTGTGCGAGCCAACATCGCGCGTTGGAACGCAATAACGCGTCTTTGATATTTAATTTTGACAATATCAAGCACTTAAACTTGAAAAACATAAAAATTATATCTCTTAATTGGTAAAAGCCAGTGGAGCATACATGCGAATGGAGAATGTAGCCACTTGAGAGGTCTTCGATAGCTCAACGAAGAACGAATTGATGCAGAATTAACGTCGACAAACAGATTCAAAGGCCAGCTCGTCGAGTTTCGGCAACAATTTATGGGCCGAACACTTGTTTGATCGATCGTTGGGTTTTAATTTTATGGCTCATCGTCGTCGTCGTCGTTGTCGTTGTTGTTGACGCTTGGCCCCGTCACATCGACACGCATTCAAACGCGCGCGACAGTGAATTGCAGTGCGAAGAAGCAGCCAACAAGTGTCGTGCGAGAGAGAGTAGAGAAGAGCGGAGAGCCGGAGAGAGTGAGAGAGGCGAAGAGTACAACAAAAAAAAGACGCAGCAAGCAATTTATTGAACGCTTTGGATTAAATCTTGCTGCTGCTGCTGGGTGTACAGCAGCGAAACTGTTCACTGCTGCTGCTTCTGTGTTGCAGTATAGTGTGTAGCAAGGACTCTCGGGTCGATATAGCTACAGCCGCGTCATTGCCGATGAGACGAAGATGAAAAGCCCGCACGACGCGTACTGTGCTTTTACCCGTGACTTTTATTTGTTTCTTACATGTCCGACCCGAGCGAGCAGTCGAGCTGGTATACACTATATACATGCGTACTTACACGACGATATATATATGTACATGTACGCGCGATGTGTAAAACTTACTTTCAAGCTCTCGAGGGCAATATTTGCTGCTATTTTTACCAGACAAGAATAAATGGCAACTTTTTTTACAGATGCAGTCGAGTTCGCAGTTTTAACAATATAATTCGTTTGTCAATAAAGAAATTCTACGTAGGAGTACTTTATAACTCTTAGTTGGCGTTTATTTAAAACATTGTAAACTTCGACTCTCGGCGCAAACTTTCCTATCGATAAAATATTTACTCCGATACGCAGATATTTAAATGATAATGATTTCGTATTATGCTTGATGAAAATTTAATTTAATTGAAAAATAAAAGTTCTTTTGCTAACTCGTTTGAAATGGAGTTTGCTCAAATAAATTCTTATTATCAATTTGCATAAATACATCCGAAAAATTCAGTAAGTTGCCCTTGGTCGAGGTTACGAATGCACTGAGTCGCGACACAAAAAAATTAATTACCGCGCGTTCGAGCTCTACATTAAATACATCAAGTACGCATCTTTGTACAGTTATAGCATGGTCGTTTTTTGCCGGGATCATTAATGGGGTTACGAACGAGTGAGCTTCGTCGTCGTCGGTGTACGCGAGACTTGTATTAACATAATGTCGAGCTGCGCGAGTAGCGCATGAAAAAGACGGAGAAAACCAGAGAAAGATTGCACAATGGGGCACTTATTATACATTGCGCAGCATCTGGCAAAAGTCAAACGTTTAAATGAGAAGCGGCGGCGGCGACGGCGGCGGCGTCGACGGGCGGAGGAGTTTAGCATTGGTTCGATGTGAAAAGGGAACTATTTGCGTTGTTACATAGCGTGTAAAGCGTTTCATTGTGCCTGGGATATTGAATAGGGGAATTTTTTTTTAATTGGAAACAATTTGCGCGAATGCAAGTTGTAGTACTGTAGTAGTGGTAGTAGTACGTCCCAGTTCATTCAGAGCTGCAATATCATTAATAAAATTACGAAATTGTAAGTTTCATTTCATTAAATATTTATGAAGACGCTTAAGGATCCGCTAGATTAGTACACGGAATAAGAGGAGAAAAATAATTTTCATGTAGCAGGTACGAAGGAGCTCGAGGGTGTAAAGGAGCTTTAAGATTCGACTTGGATTCTTATCGATATTACCGTTTTCTTTTCTTCTCTCTTTTGTCACAAAAGGTGTCGATAAAAAGCACAAACAGCCAAAAACATGCAATGAAACGGCAAAGAAATTGACATCGAGAAAATTGCGAAGAAAAAAGAAACGTTAAGGCGTTGCCACGGGTCAACGGCTTCAAAGCAACAAGACGATTAAAATATTTTCCGAAGAATCAGCAGCAACGGCCGTATGCAGGCAATAACAAAAGAGGGAGAAGTTATATAGGCGAGTATTTTAGCAAAGAACGAGCCGCGAGCATCGGATTACGCGCGTAAGCAAACGCATGTGTGCCGCGTTACGAAAGAACGCGCGAGCCGAAGTGTAATAGAGGCAGCAGTTGATTCTTCGTCGTCGTCGTCGTCGAGGGGCGACTGACCTCGCATCGACTCAAAGCTCGAACGCGTCTGCATAAATACCCGCGCGCATTTGGAGCCTATTGCAGGCGCAGCACGGGGCAATAATAATTACTTACGCACCGAGAGAGCTGCCGAATCGCGATAGCCGCTCTCTCGCGTTTAATAATAGAAAAGAAATAGCGTATGAGAATTGGCGCGCGGGTCAAAAGTCCCTCGAACGGAAGCAGATGCGATTTCTCCGTTGCCTCGATAGGGCGTCGTCGTCGTCGTACTAATACTAATGCTGCTGCAGACAGTTTATATAATATGCATGTGTGTTGGTATGTGTGTGTGTGTGTGTGCAGCGGCACGACTGCAGTCGCTTTGCGCCGCGCACGCAGTATTCGAATAATCGAGTATAAGCACACATAATACGCACCTAGCCGTATAATGTGCAGAACGTGCGGCAGCAGAAGCTGACTTTGAATCGCAGGCGCGCATATATAGCGCGGGATCGAGCTGCACGTTAATACGCTGCGTTATATATATATGCTGCTGCTGCTGCTTCTGCTGGAGCCTGTATGCTGCAGTCGGAAGGCGCGCAAAGCGGCAATTCGCGCGAGTTAGCTGTGCTGCTGCTGCTGCTGCTGCTGCTCCGAGGCCGTACCTACTATACGTGCAGCAACCAAGAGATGTAGCTATATAATCGCGTGCGCATACATAAAGACACGGAGTAGAGTAGAGTAGCGAACGCGACCGAGAGAACGAGAAGGCGGCAGCTGGCCGCGTAGCGCAACGCACACTGCACGTATTGTATATCTGTATGTATCATCGGCGCGTACGCGCACACACACACGCACACGTACAGAGGACACGTACACAGACTGGCGAGCGTAGAGTAGTAGTAGTAGTCGAGAACGCGCGGCGGGCGACTTTCTGCGGCGCGCGCGAGACTGCAGATGGCGGGTCGATCGAGGGCGCGCGCCTCCAGGAGCCGGCGCTGCTCAGTTTGCCGGAGTCGTTTCCGCGTGCCGGTCGTGCAAGAGAGGAGAGCGCGAGAGAGGCCCACCGTCAACCTGGCCTAATACCGTATCATATATACACATTATATGCAGCAGCAGCAGCTGACGTTATAGTAGCTTGTATACACACACACCGTATATATGGACGCGCGTGCTCACAACCTATAGCGCAGCATACATTATAGAGCTCGATTTCTGTCTGCGTGCGTTATATATCCCCAAACACTGTGTTCGGTGGATCGCGAATATAATCGCCGAGAGTGTATTTTATATAGGCTCGTGACCCGTGCAGTGTCTTCGCGCGTGTATGTACCTGTGCGTGCGTGAGTGTGCGATACACGACTTCGACTCGCACTCTAAATTTACACACTTGTTTTTGTGTGTGTGTGTGTGTGCGTGTATGAACCAGCGAATCGTGCGATTCATCGGCCGAGAGAACTCAACAGGTGAGAGAGAGAGAAGCAACAGCGAAAACAAGACGCACACAAAAGTTTCTGCCCGCCCGCGTCGTCGTCTTTGGTGTATAACCGAATAAATCGCTTCTTTCGAATTTCGAACGCATGACGCTGCGCCGTCTGCCTTTTGAATTGTCGTCGAGCTCGCAGCAGCAGCAGCAGCAGCACGTTGTTGTGCAGTAGTGCGACTGTTGCATTCCACGCGCGCGCTTCTTCACAGCGACGTTGTTGCAATAAGTCATATTGTGCGTGAGTGTGTGTGTTTACTTTGCAGTGGCCCCGTGTTTTATTTAGGTGTTTTTATTACTACGGCAGAGTGTTTGGCTGCCCTGCAACTGTGAGTGCCCGTGATCGAAGTACGTTCGGTGCGTGTACCGCTGCTACGCGCGTTCGGCATCATTGGCTCGTCACACGTGACGTACTACGATTGTGCGAGAGCGGCACAGTATACTACAGCGACTTTCGCCAATATCAGCGGCAGCAGCAGCTTTAGTAGCAGTTTTGTAAAAGTGCGAACGACAAAACAACACGACACAGCTCTTCGGCGAGCATCGTAGCGCATCGACGACAGCCAGTGTCAGTGACATCTTAGCTCGCCGCCGCTTGCTTATATATCGTACGGAGCAGCACACTGCACTGCTACAACAGTATATACTAATACTACACACACTCTCTCTCATCGGCTTGACCTCGCGCGCTGCGATTCGTTTTCTCTTCTCTTCGTCTTCTTCTCATTATCGGTATCTCGAGTGGCTGTGTGTATACGTGTGCCTGTGTATGTGCACTCAAGTTATATATACGTGCATATATAGTAGTGAACGTGTGCATATGTGCGCGGATTATCGCAGTGCTGCAGTTTTTCCCCACTGATCGAGCCCTCCGGTCCTCCAACTGTACAGCAGTAAAGCGCGTATAGTTATATATAGGCAGTGTGATCTCAGTGCTCAGTGTGGCCCGCGCCATTGTTTGCATCGTCGTCGTGTCTGTGTGTTATATATGTGTGTGTCTGTGTGACAGTCGATATAGCAGCAGCAGATCGGTCCACCGGGAGAGCAGCTTCCCTCGCCTCCTCACCTCGTCTCGTCTCAAGGTAAGTCATTTTGTATATTACGTATATAGGTATACACATTCGTCTCGTTTTCTCTCTCTTCCTCGCTCGCTCTCGTGTGCCGATATATAACATCTCGTTCTGCGATGAACGAACGCAGTCGCGCGCTCTTCTCCCGCAGCAGCAGCTACCGATCCGTAGTCCGTACCTACTATACGCTGCAGCGACTCTTCGTCCTCTTTGCCTTAGCACCACTGCTGCACTGTAACTTTCCAACTCTCTGTCTTTTCTTCTCTTTCTCTCCCTCTCGCTGTTCTATTTTCTTCTTTCAACGTTCGGAAACGAGTCTCTCTCTCGGTCGATCTTCTACCTTCGTCGTAGCTGTTTCTCCATATAAACGCCCACAGCTTGTACGAGCTGCGGACGAATTTCACGCTTCTTTCTCGCTGTTACTCTCGTTCGTTTTAAACGCTGCTGCTGCTTCTGCTCGAATCCGATGCCGACCCGCCACAGAGTAATTTTTGCACCGTAGGGCTTAATCCGTTAAAGATCATTCCCGATCTCTGCTATATTAACACCAGCGAGTGAATAATTCGTTGTTCCAAGCCGAGTCGTTGCCGTCAGCAGTGGCAGCGGCGGGGCGTGTTATACTATATCTGATTCGATCTGCATCGCGTCCGACTCAGCATCTGAATCAGCAACGCCGCGCGCGGCGCAGCGTAATTTTTCCATTAAAATCTCGCGTCGGTTTTTCCTTTGCTTATTCTAAAACGAGATATTGGCAATATACGTACTCGAGCGAGCAAGCGCCAATGCACACACAACAACGAGAACGAGAGAAAGAGAGAGAGAGAGCAAGCTCGTATAGCGATTAAGTACGCATTTCCTGTCGATTCAGACTCGACTTGCAAACAAAACTAATCATAGCCGGGGCGAATAAAAGACCTCTCGTTTTTTTTTCTTCTTCTCTTTTTTATTTCATCGGTATATCGCGTATCGTATCGCTTGCAGCGAGGCAGCAAGCACACAATGGGACTGAGGCTGCTGAGTACGTGCTCGCGATGATGCGTAGAGCGTAAAAATACACATATACCACACATCTAACGATCAGTATCTCGTGCTCGTGCCTCGAAGCAGCAGCAGCAGCAGCAGCAGAGCGAGGCAGCAGTGTGTGTTATAAGATAGATCGGCCAAGAAAAAAAATGTTATGTACGTAGTGTATATAGTAAACGTACAGCAAATGATCGCGAGGCAAACTCGTCTCGATCGTTGTATTACATCAGCAGCGCGCGTCTCTTATATATATACACTACGTACACACACACACACACACTCGCCTCGCGTGCACGTGACCGTGATTATTCTTCATTAAAATGCAAATTCTTCGCTCTTATTCCTATTCCCGTGTATATACTACTATATAGCTTGCGCAAGACGCTTATTGAGAATAATGCCTCAGACTTGGAGAATCAAACTCTTTACCGGTTCTCTTTCCTCGAGTTGTTTTTTCTTTTTTATCTTTTTTTATTTTGAGCCAATATAAACGAGTCAGGGAAAATGACATCAAAGTCTGCTTGACGAAAAAGCTCTGTCTGCTTGTTTGCCTTTGTTTGTGTGTCTATCTGTCGGGGATCTGTCAACTGTCTGTCTCACTGACGCCCTCGAGAGTAGCCCGATGAAAGGCTCCGAATCAGCCGATATATTTTCGAAGTATATATCGATCCCAAGCTCTATTTTGAACTTGAGCTGTTTTTACACGCTGATCCGTCTCTCCGAGACGTCCTCGCTTAATACAATTAAAGGTGTCCGGACGATCGCTAATGATTGCTCGTAAATTGCAGCGCTCGTTAAACGCTACTGCATAGCTCGAGTCTATCTCGGTGCGCGCAGAGTCGCCTTGATCGTAATTTTTTCTCTAACTCGTGTTTCTTTCATAAATACCCGCGCACGTAACGTTGTCGGCTCTATAATAATGCAGGAGCGAACGCCTCGATGTGCACTGCTTCGCTGCAGCTTCGAGATTTTCGCGAGAGACCTCACAGAGCAGAGTCGAGCGAGGTTGCGTGTGGCTGCAGTACGTCGCACTGTGTGTTGTTTCGCGCTCGTGACTCGTGACTTGCGCGCAACAGTCGACTTTTATGCGGTTTTACTTGTTGGTACTTATGCAGCGCGGCTGCAAGCAACACTGAGTTTTACTTTATTTGTTACTGTTTCCCACCGCACACATACATACACACAGCAATGATTCCGAGAAATGCTGTCGCTGTTGCTGCTGCTGTTTAGTTGTTGTGCCCGCGGATACGCGCCTTCGCGCGTTACAATATTATATGGTGTATATTTTCTTATCCGCAGGAACGACGCTATATGGACTCGTATTTATATTTATAGAATTATGAGTACTCGCGGCGTGCGTGCGGGTACACGTGCGCGCGTGTGCGTGTGTGTGGACGGACGACGTGGATGTGGCAGAACGCGTTACGCCTAGCGCGCCGATGTATTACCCGGTCTCTAAATATATAACGTCGAGTTATGCCGCTCGGTATACAAATTCATTCATTCGTTCGCTTCTTCCTTTTCGGTTTCTCGATATATACTATACGCTGCACCGATCCCAATGCCGCATTACTGCGGCCGCAAATTTGCCCGTCTCTCGGTTCGTTCGCTCGGCTCTCTCTTGAATGCTACAGCACAACACGGCACTATACGCGGCAGTCTCTCGGCCTTGAAAACGAAAAGAGGTTAGCTTCATTTGATCCGACGACTTTAGCATCTATTCCTGCCTCTACTGAACTACACACTGCGCCATGCACGAAAGAGAGGCTGTTTTGCCGTTTCTCTGATTACGTGTGCGTGCTGGTACTACGCCGCTTTTGCTGCGTCGTCGTCGTAGTCGTGTATAGTCGTGGTTGTTTGGTACATATACTCGCTTTTGGCTCTCTTTCGGCCTCATGCTATACGCGTTTGACACGCGTGCTCATATACGCTCGGTTTCGCCGCAAATTATTTACCATAACTCACTCACGTTCGCCCTATTCCGCCTCGCTCTAGCATTTCCGTCATTCATGGCCGTGCACTGTTTTACGCTTAGGATTTTCGCCGGCCTTTTTTTCTTTTTTTCTTCTTCTTCAAAATTATTAATGCTAAATCAGGATAACTAAGTTAATTACTTTGACTTCAAGCTCCGCGCGTGGTTTCCAACCTCGTTCTAGTACGAGTATGCAAATATTCACGTGTTGCAAATTACTGTTTGCGCTCGGCACTATAAATATTAACAAGAAGTCTGCGAAACGCAGGAAAAAATTACAGCGATTCAATTTCAGCGTTCTGGCAAGAAAATCAGTATTTTTAAATTATTTTACAATAAAGCATGTGCCTCCCTGCTGTTAAGTGTGTCATTTTCAGTAATTTAAAGTCCGTTGAAAATTAAACGTCAAACTTTTAATTACGTCACGAGCCGTTCATCAGCTTGTTTATTTTTCACAATAAAGAGAACCCACGCACCCACTTGGTACATTCTAGGTGAGTCACGGCCCTATAACTCAAAATCTCGGCAGTCTTTATTCATATTACAGACCATTAATACATCGAATACTACGATACCAATTTTTCTCTTTTGATCGAGAACCGCAAAAGAAAAATTATTTTACTGCCAGATATGTACACGATTAATTGTGTGAATTACATCGTAAACAAAATTTATCATTTTCTAATCAACCGACGTGATCATCGGCGATGTTCAATTAATCTAGAATTTTCTTCGTGCTCGAGAGCTATAAATAATTTTTTTTTTTTTTCATCTGATTTTCGGTTCAACGTACTACTTCTTTACTCCGCGGGTATTAAACGCGCGCTCCTCGGCGTAGAACGGTGAAATTTCAATCGTCGATATTTATGCAAAGCTCGCTGATTTGCTTCGCGATAATAAATTCAAAGTTGAATGGCACTGCACGGCGCGGCGCTACTCGAATTTGCATGTAGCATGCGCGCATGCCAAAAGAGTCGATGCTTTTAAAAGCAATTATCCCGTGTACGCGTGCACTGCAGCAGCAGCAGCTGCGTCGGCGGTGGCGGCACTGGCAGACTCGGCGAAAATGAACTACTTGAAATTTAGATTGATGTTTATACGATACATTACATTATGATTGGGGCTCGAAACTTATCCTTCGCGTAAAAGCTTGCTTAGTATGTATAGAATCTTTCGCCGAAGTTTATTACTGCGTGTAAGTCCTTAGGTGTTCATAAAACGTCGTCTCGCGTTTCCGTAAAGTTGTGTGCAGCATTTGTTGCGCTGTGGCGCGACGTCATGTAAACACCTAATAATCAAAGCGCGAGGAGAATCCGATCGAGAGCCGACGTGATGGGAAAAGTAAATTAATGAATCACTCTGAATGACTCTTGACTCAAATACATGATAAAAAATAATAGTTTGAAACTCGTACAGCTGTACGCGTAGGTAAACGTACACGTCTTTCTCTCTATCCACTTGTAGTAGAAACTCTGACGTTTCAAGTTCAAATGTACGTAAAAAATCAAGGTAATACAGCGCGGCTGTGGAGCCGAGTGCCGAGTTTGACCTCGTTCTCGACGCCCGTAGCGCGCACACTGGTCAAGAGAGTCTCGAATAACGTGGCTCTCAATTGCGGTACAAGAGAGGTACCTATATCGGACGACGAAGCGTGGGCCTGATTTCCATGCCACACGGCACACACTGACAAATACAGTACACACACACACACACACACACACATACATACATACACACTTTACATATAACAGACGATGCTCCCGCCTCCTGCCACGCTATAAGTCTTGGTACACGCTCTGATTTTCTTTTCCCGCTTTCGAGATTGTCGCGCGAGCGTGCGCGCGTGCCATCATATTTTCTTAGTCGAGAGCTGCTCTGCCGTGTTTATGTTTACTTTCAATCAATTTTTATCTTGACACAACTGCGTCACGATACGATTTTTTCGAGGGTTTGACTATTGATCGCGGCACGTTTCACCTACGAACTTAATTGAAAAAGTGTATATCAATTTCGAATT